TTTTGATCTTTTATGAAATAGATTTTGGGGCGGCACTTGTGGTTCAGTGGGTAGGGCACCAGCCCCATATAGTGAGGGTGGCAAGTTCGAACCCGGCCCCTGCTAAACTGCAACCAAAAAATAGCTGGGCTTTAAGGTGGGTGCCAGTGGTCCCAGCTGCTTGGGAGGCTGAGGCAGGAGAATCGCCTACATTCAGGAGTTGGAGGTTGCTATAAGCTGTGATGCCATGGCACTCTACCGAGGGTGATAAAATGAGACTCTGTCTAAAAGGAAGAAAAGATTTTGAGTTTTTGTTATAAGGATTTTCTCACTGCACAGCTATAAAAAAAGGTTTTACCTCTTCCCGCCACTACATATGTACTTTCATTTTTTACATTTCAATATTTAATTCATTTGCTGTTTAACCTAGTGTAGGGTGTGAGGTATAAACCAACCTTTTTTTTCATGGTTTAGGAGAAAAGGAATTGTGTGCAGTTCCATACACCTAGTAATAGGATGGTGTCCTCAGTTTTATAGAACCTGAGACCAGAGCAGCTGATTCTTCTTAAGGTGATTCTGACAGTAAGTGAAAAAAACCAAGGTTTATATCCAGATCAAAGTCTAAGGCCCATATTCTTTCAAGCAAAACATGCAGCCTTGTTAAATATAAATTATGTAAAATAAATATAAAGATTAGATGTGCTTATGTGAGACTTGAAATTTGTAATTAATCTTTTATTTCTGCTGATTAAAGCTGAGGATATGTTAAGAGTTCCTTTCCCTCAGAGGGAAAAGAGGGACAGTCCTGGGCAGCCTTGTGGACACACTGTATGGCTGGCGGAGAAGAATCAGCTTCTGAAGAGGGGAGGAGGGGCCAGAGCTAGGAGGAAAATCAGCAGGGTGTGGTTCCATGAAAGCTGAGGAGGCAATGGATACCAGGTCAAATTCTATTTTAGAAAAATGGATAAGGCTGGGTGAGGTGGGCCACACCTATAATCTCTGCACTTTAGAAGGCCTAGACAGGAGGATTGCTTGAGACCAGGAGTTTGAAACTAACACAGTGAGACTTGTTTCTACAAAAAAAAAAAA